GCCCAGTACAATGTGTTTATAATTATAAAGTGGTGTGAAGAAAAAAGAGTTCTAAGATTGAAAGGTTGTGTGTAGAGCGTTTTATTAAAAATGTTATCATCTTACAAACAGTTTTTTTTTATAAAAGTCTATGAAGATAATTTTGGCAGTGCGGTAAAACTGTCACTTTACACTCGTCTGTGCGTAAAATGCTCAGGCGACTGTAAATACAGTCTTTCAATAGGTGTCAATTGTACGTTAATTTGACATTTACATGTCAGGAGGCCAAAAAAAAATTTTACATACCTATCAAAAAAAATGTGGTGTTACAAAACTGTGTTTATTTAGTTTAGCTAATCAATAATTAATTAACTTCAGAGTATTAAAAAAAGTTATATTAGCCGAAAACCGAATCAAAAATAAAAAACTTGTTTGTATTTTTTTTAATTTTGTTATCAACATTCAAACTGGCCCGCTATTTTTTCCCTGTTTGTGAAATAAAATTAGCACCTTTAACAAGTGTTGTGGGCTATGCTTTATTAAAAAATATATTTGTCCTTTGTTTTGATTAAAAGTAACTTTTCTTCAACATTTTCTCTTTTTATAACATTTCAAAAACATTAAACCGATCTGAAAAATGTATTTATTTCAAAAAAGTTGTTTGTAAAATCTTGCAATAGGCGATATTTAGTGGTCGCTTCTCTTGAAACATGTGGCCATTTTATCGTTACCATAAGACTATAAGACTAGTAGCCATAGGCATAAAAACTTAACTTCTGGCAAGTATTGCAGTTACATAATATATTTTATGCACTGTGCGTATTACTGTACATGCATTTATGAAGCACCATATGTATTTTATCTCTTATAACGAGCCTGAATCGATCGAACTAATCGCTAAAAAAACCCTAATTTTAAGCTCAAGCTTTACGTCCTTTTTATTCAAAAAAACTCTTTGTTGTTGCCTGCCCAAGGAGGAAAATAATGATTTAATTAAAGATAAAACACAAAGAAAGTCGTTGATGTGTAATGAAAGTCTCGGCCAAAATAAGAAAAATTTGAATAGAAAGAGAATCAAAAGGAAAATTAATTCGGCACCTGTTTTCCAGTTGTCTCATTTACAATATTGTGTGACTGTGATTATGTCTAGTGTTTTCAGATGTTAAAAGCTTTAGGTACTGAAGAGGAATACAGTATTAAGCGGGCCGAAAACGCCTCGGAAAGGTTGTAGACGTTTGCTGAATGCAAAGCGAGGATTTAGGAAAGCGTCAAGGATTTGGTAGGATCTGAACGTTTTCAGTTTATGGAAGGTAGCTTCCTGCGCACGCGATAACTTTGCTCCGGAAATGGAGCTTTTGATCGATGTCAGGTATTCGAATTTATTTTCAAAAACAACAGGAATTTAAATTGGGAACGTTACGACTTAATCGACGTTTTATTAGACAGACCACCATGACTCTTAATTATGAATTAATTAAGTTTTTGTGTTTAATAATGATAGGTGCTTATAGTGTAGTTAAGCGATATTAAATTATCTCGTTGCTTTATCTGACAAGAACATATTAAGTTTGGTTAGTTACCCCGCTGTATACGTAACCCTTTCTCGGGGACAATGACATAAAACAGCGAGAAGATTTCATTGTTCGCTCTTCCTCCCTAAAGGGCAATCTCTTCCTTCATTCTTCCAATCCTTTCTGTAATAAAATACAGGCGCTTGCTTGCAGACATTTTACATTTCATTAAATACTTTCAGACACGCCCCATATCCAACAAAATTGCGTAAAAAATCCACGTGTAACAATTATAACTCACTCTGTCAGACCCGTCTGGCCTTTTGTAGCCCTCTATTCTGCTTTCTTATAATTAAAAGCATATGTGGCAAATACGTTTGAGTTATTTATGATTCAAACGCACTAAATACAGACTATAACCCCTTCGAAAACTATCGCTCGGTTAAATGACGTCTTCTTTTAGCGGTCGAGTCTTTTGAAGTCCGACATTTGTGTTAACGAAGTGACAAAGTTGCCGACTTTTGCGATTTTTACCAGCTCAGCTTTTTTAATTCAATCGAATTAGAAAAAAATTATGATTTATGGGTTATAAAATTTTAAACACTTTAAATAAACCAGAAAAGACCCGATTTGTATGTTTTACAGAGCGTGTAATAAAAAAGCTCGATCAACGAACAAAAGGGTCCTTGTTTGTAAGTTGAGAATAAATATAGCGTGTGGGGAAGCTCCATCCTACCCCTTACGAATACTAAAATGTCGTAAAATTGAACATATACCTATTTTCTCTGGTGGGTAATTTTTACCCGTTTCAATTCAATTATAAATAAATTATTCGTGCTTTAAATACATAATAAATAACCACGGTTTATTATTTATTTGTTTTGATTGAACTTTTAATACCTATTTTTGCCTCGCACTCACGGATCAGTAGGTAACTAATAATTATAACTAGTTAACATTAAATCGTGACATTATGTACGGCAGTTTGAAAATCACGACTCATTAATTACAAGGCTTAAACCGACACACGTGTAGAGATCAAAAGGAATTGGGAAAAATATTTGAAATTTTCAGAAATTTAAGTGTTGTTAAGCAAGTGGTGACTTTGTTTGTTTATAACAAAATCTTCCATAAATCAGTTATTTTCCCGTGTTTCGTTTTTCGTTACGTAAAATAACACGACTAATTACACACTTAAGTTGTTTCGCTTAATTAATTTCTGCAAGTCATTAAAAATCTGCATTATCGCAAATGAACAAAATGTCAGCTCTATGTTAAACCATTCATCGCTAAATGTAGTATAAATTAAATGTTAAGACATCCTCCTGTCTTAAAAACCTTGACTTAACATACTTAACCCCTAAGGCAATATCATTATCGGTGCATTTTATTGGTTTTGTGATGCATTCCCCCCACCAAATGCAATAATAGTTGGTAGCTTTGACTAGCCTAGACCAACTCGCCATGAACACCTCCATACTAGTCTGGTCGCCTAATGAGAAATATATTCAGAATGCAATGTGTATTAGTTTAAATAATACAAAACAAAATGTTTATTTATAATTTTAGCCGAATTTTTCCCTCTCTGTCTAGACAAGGAGGTTTAGGACCGCCAGAATTTGGCAATCAGAGTGGGGAGGACCCGGAGCGCGAAAATCGGAGCTGAATTACCCCATAATTGGAGTTTTTCAGAGCTTAAAATTTTCATTGCTCCACTGAAGTTGAAAAAATGCATTTTTGGGTTCGTTTAAGATTGAGTTAAGGCCTCAAAATGCGTTTTGTGGGCCAAAACCGGTCGATAATGCATGGGTGGTTCTCTTGGGCCCGGCTTAAATTTTATTGTAAAAATCCAGTTTAAAAATCCTGCTTTACAGGCTTTGGTGCACAGGAATTTGCGATAAGTTTCTCGAATCTTAAAAGTGCATCGCAATGCACTTGTGCATCACAAAAAGCCCGAAAATAAAACGTGGTAAGTACGCCAGCGGTTTTATCAACTTAGTGTATGATCTATTCCTACGTACGCGCTAGCAGGGCAGCAGAGAGGCGAAGGAGGTGCTTGTTTATAGCTTGTTATTATGGCGTACACATCACACATGTTAAATGACCTCTGCATACGGTATTTCAAGTTGCGTGCAACAACTGCATAAACCTGATTGGTAAGTTGGAGCAATTTGCGAAGCGAGTTTGCAAAATTCCTCCGAGCTCGACGAAAGAGAATGGTGCTTCTGTTTTATGGTAATTGGTGCAACGTCTTCAACCATTCTAGTTCATTGAATTTTGCAATAATTTATGTACGTTCATGTAAATAAAGTCAGGACATAAAATTAATGTAATCGACCTAGTTAAAAACGGCAAACAGCAAAACGAATTTGGACAGTTTAACCCAAAAAAACTAAACGCATTGTAAGCCATAAATTTATTTAATAAATATCGGTTATAAACCTGCAGATACATTCTCATTGTATAAATAAATTCATATTTTTATCGATTGCAAACTAACAAATGCGTTAATTTGTACCGCACATTTAAAATTACGAGTACGTACAACTTACTTTCTCTCAAAACTTCAGAGGTTCGTTGAATTAGTCTGCAACGTAAAAATGTAAATACTTTTTATTTAAATAAAAACAAAATAAATTAGCAATAATAATATTCAGATCAATATGTAACAGATAAAAGTATTATTAATCAATAGTAATCATTTTACCAACGAAAACCAAATAAATTAAAAAGGACAACGAAAGGGCGTGATAATACAGGCTGAGTCACATCATATACCGATTTTCGAACGCAACCCAAAATACATTCTCAGTTGCGTTAATTGATAAAATTATTTAAAATTTTTCAAAGATATAAACATAATTGATACCTGTAATAGGAATGACAGTTTTCAAAAATTGGCATCTTACAGTGTACCTTCGACAGTAGGTACAGATTCAGTCATAACATTCTGTGCCATTCCCATATATCAAGATCATGTCAGTTTCTTCGTCATTTGAATATATTTTGAATTTAATGAGAAAAAAAGTGAAATTGAAGATACTGCAAAATTTAAGGAATGACATATCAACAACTACTTTAATTCAAATTTATTAAACTAAATTATTCATCCACAACTAAAGCCATGTTATCTGATGTGAGAATGGGTTGCGTCTGAAAATCGGTTAGGATCTTTATTATAACTGACTTGCCCTGTGTATAGACTAAGTTTATTTATTACTATATACAAACTCAAATTTTGTTATTATCCAAATAAAAGAAAATAAATAGAATATCCCCTGATTTAAATTTAAAAACTGTATGACACAGAGTGGTGTTGTGAAACCAGATATTTCAAATACTCATTCTTGGTAACAAAGTAAAGATTAAAAAATATTAAAACAGTTTAATATGCTGACGATTGTACAATATCTCTACAGTGTAAAATAAATAAGAATTAATATTTTCACAAAAAGAATTAATAATTTGGTGATTTATTGATTTTATTCGTCTAGTCTCTGGTTGGAAAATATAACAAAAGTAAGAAATATTTCAATAAAAAGTGTATTTTTCGTAAATTTATTATCAGAGACTGCGGTATCATACCCATTTTGTTATCACTCTTCGACCCAAAAGCCCGCCCTTTCTTGTGGAATAACCGATTCTGTGAAAGCCACCCTTTACCGAGCAACTGACCCATTTTCCCCGACAAAAGCCTTATGATACAGTGGCTGGAATAATTCGTATTTTTTGTGGCACCTCAGCCATGCAAAATAAAGCATTTAAATGCATGGAAGAATTTTACAGTTTCCCTGAAGGTTTCACATTTCACATGCAAAAAAATTTAGAAAGTCGTGGTTTTATATGAAAGTACCTACAAGGGAAATCTTTAGTGTCTTGTATATCAACGAGCCGTAATGGTGTGTGAGGAGCGGTGAGGCTTATCTTTTGATTTTAACAGCGCATACAGGTATGTAGGCACCGTTTTGATAACGCATCCGGGTTTTCGAACCGGATTATAAATAAGACACACAATAAACATATTTCAGGAGCAGTGATTCAGATGAAAGCGTTTCGGGATTCAATTTATTGCTCCAGTTTGTGATAAGTTTAAAAGTTTGAGAAGATATGCCGATTTTTAGTGATTTATGACTTGTTTATCAAACTAATGAAGTTATGTTTATGTTATATTTTTCCACTATGAGCATATAGACTCCACTCAAAGATGTTTACGTTATGGTTGGACAGATCACTAAAATGAAAGACACGCAACGGGCGCCCACGTTCTACCATATCCAAGGTCATATTAATATCAGTAAAACACCCAGTAAATATTAAATATATTTAAACATATTAATTATTCATTCCAAATGTTTCAGACGCGCCAATATTACAATCTATGCAAATCAGAAACAGAAATATATAATTCAAACTTATTTAAATTTCGTTAGTTTCCAAAATTTATTTTAATAAAGCTTTAAATGTTCTATAGTTTATTATTCAGTAAA